AATCCCTGGGCTTCCCTCATCACAGCCCTGACCAGTCTGGACTGTCACCATGGAAGAGCCTGCCTTTTCACTGACAAGGGGTCCTATGAGTACAGGGCCCACCCAGCTCTATGGGGACAGGCACAGAGGAGTCGAATCAACCGGCAGGATTCCAGAGCAAGGCAATAAAGCTGGAAGTCTCATTCTGAGAAGGATAACTAAAAGCACAGGCACAGTTTGTTTGGAAAAGGGGAGGCCAGGTGCAGCTTCCTCAGCCATTTGCAGGCCCTGAAGGCTGCCTGGAAGATGTGTGGCTCACTGCTCACCAGGGTGGGACCAGGGCCAGAGGGAGGCAGTTACACAGAAGTGGGAGTGACTCACAAGAAAAGTTTTTAATGATCACAACTTCCCCAAGCAAAATATGCAGCCCTGTTCTTCCCCTGCTGGAAGAACTGAAGATGAAGCTAGCCAGTGAGCAGCTCAGGGCCCCAACTGCTCTTTGGACCTCTTATGAGGCAACAAAGTGGAGTGGCTAAGAGCAAGGGTGCTGCAGATGGGCTGCAAAGGCTCCCGCCTGGCTCCTCTTCTGATGCCTCAGCTTCCTTGTCATTACTGTGGAGGTATCACAGCAGTGACATCACAGGGTAGTTGTAAGGACTGAATGAGACCAAGCTCACAAAGTGCTTACAGTGGGGCCTGGCACAGTCAGCACCATTACTGTTAATTATTACTGCTTACCGTTCCCTACAGAGCCAGACACTGTTGGCTGCCTAGCCCAACTGATGCTTCCAAATCATTTTTTCTGGCCTCCTCCTCAGGAAAGGTTAAAAAGTTAACTGAAATTTTCCTGCTTCCTTAGAGCTAGGGGAGGATATGCGACACACTTCTGGCCAATGAGATACAAGTGGAATCTTCTAGCGCATTCTGGGAGCACTTAAGCAGTCCAGATTTGAAACACAAATGTCACTGGAGGTGATTCGTCACTTTCTGTTTTGCTTGGAGGGGCAGCAGCAACTATGTGACCACAAGGAAAAAGTCCAAGGGACTCAGGCTCCAGCCGTGACACTAGCCAGCCACAGAGCTAATGTGGGCAGCCAAGCACCTCCAGGTGGGAGAGAAATCAATCAACCCCAAGCTGCTCTGAACTGGATTTTCAGTTCTTGAAGCTACAAGTATTCCAGGTCAGTGCAGCCACCATGACACAAATGGCTCAAGTCACCTGCCCATGGTAACTGTCTGCCAACCTCAGCTCAGACCCATAGTTGGGAACCCCCTATCTAGAGGAAAAAGAGTGGAAAGCTGAGCCGATGTGCTATTTCCCAACCCCAGCTTTGTGTTCTACCCATCCTTTCAGCTGCAGTTACATCCCATCTGAACAGTTATTTACTAAATATTATCTTTAAATTAACTCACTTTTGGGCAGCGCCTGTGGCTCAGTGAGTAGGGCACCGGCCCCATATACCAAGGTGGCGGGTTCAAACCCAGCCCTAGCTAGCTAAAAACAGCAATGACAACTGTAACAAAAAACAGCCAGACATTGTGGCAGGTGCCTGTAGTCCCAGCAGCTCGGGAGGCTGAGGCAAGAAAATTGCATAAGCCCAAGAGTTGGAGGTTGCTGTGAGCTGTGAGCCCACAGCACTCTACCAAGGGCGATATAATGAGACTCTATTTCAACAACAAAAAATACTCACTTTTAAACTTAAAAATATGTACTTTTTTTCAGTAGAACCTCCATAGGTGACCACCTCCTTAAGTTGACCTAATTTTCATTGACCAGACATACACCACATGTATGTGTCAGTGCAGTTGGCCTGGTTCCTTATGTTGAACACCTCTGTATGTGGACCAATTTGTTACAGTTCCCTGGGTAGTCAACTTACTGTGCTTAAAAAGGAATCTACATCACCACTAAAAATGAAATATTGGTATCTTTTGCTAAAAGGAAAGGTAACTTTAAAAAATAACTCTGAAAACAAAATATAGGCTCGGTGCCTGTAGCTCAAGTGGCTAGGGCACCAGCCACATACACCAGAGCTGGTGGGTTCGAATCCAACGAGGGACTGCCAAACAACAATGACAACTACAACCAAAAAATAGCCAGGCGTTGTGGTGGGCACCTGTAGTCCCAGCTACTTGGGAGGCTGAGGCAAGAGAATCGCTTGAGCCCAGGACTTGGAGGTTGCTGTGAGCTGTGAGGCCACAGCGCTCTACCCAGGGTGACAGCTTGAGGCTCTGTTTCAAAAAAAAAAAAAAAGAAAGAAAGAAAGAAAGAAAAAAAAGAAAAGAAAATATAGTCATCAAATGTACCATCAAAAATTACCTGACGTAGCATAATGTGAGTCCAATGGACTAGTAAAAACTCCTCATTTTCCTTTTCTACTGGGGGAAAAATATCAGAAAATCTTTCAATGTGGCATTTCCACAGGGCAACAAGGGTCTACAGCTGAGTAGGGAACATATTTTCTTATTTAGCACAATTCCTAAAATCCTGTTCAGGAGTGAGCTGATTCGACTGTGCTCTCCCAATGGGCTGGGGGAAGAAGTAGGCCAGGCCCCGCATGGTTCCCACCTCTTTTCAGGGCCTCCTCAGGCTTTCCCAGATCACCTTGTCTAAAATTTCCCCTGGTGACTCCCAGTCCCTTCCCTACTTGACTCATCTCTGTATGTTCTACAGTACTTATCCCCATCAACTTAGCCTACATTTGCTTTTTATCTATTTATTGTTTTATTCCCAGTAGAACTGTCAGTTTCCTTAAGGAAAGGATTGTATCTGTTTTATTCATTCCTGAATCCCCAGTGCCTGGAACCTAATAATAGGTACTCAAATGGTATTTGTTGAGTGAAGGAAAAGAAACAAATGAATCAAATGAATGAACTAATGAAACCTCATCTCCTTTCTCTTTCCTTAAGGCTCTGGTTACTGTGTAGGGAAAATGCTGGTCCTGCAATTTGAGGGGTAAGGCTACGAATTCACTTGGGATTTAGGACCTTTTACTACATTCAAAAGGAATGTGATAGGTTAAAACAAATGTTTATGAGTCTATATGATACATATTAACTCAATAAAGAAAGAAATGAGGGGGAAGGGATAGGTCTTTCTTATAGAAGAATTCTAATTAATAAATGTAGAAGGAGTGAGGGACATACAAAAACTACCATTAGGGAAATTCACATGCCACAGTAATAACTGTTGCAGGCAAGAGCCAGCCACCAATGGATGCTAAAATTAGTCAGTGGAAATTTGAGGAAAAGCAGGATATTAGCAAAGCATGTCCCCCAAGATATGTATTAATTACAAAGGAAAAACAGCAATTTCACAGCAGAGAAACCTGGCAGGCACTACCTTAATCCAGTGACCCAGGTGAACACTATCAGGAGAAAAGGCATGGACATCATGGACTCCACATGGTGCCTTGAGGAGGGAATGTCACTTCTGTGGGGTTCTTCCAAATAATGCACAAACTCAACTGAGTCACAAGAAAACATCAGACAAGCCCAAATCGAAACATTCTACAAAATAACAGTGCAGTCCCCTTTCAAAGTGTCAAGGTCATGAAATACAAAGAAAGACGGAGGCATTGTCATAGACTGGAGGAGATTAAGGAGCTATGACAACTGAATGTAGTGTGTGATTCTGCACTGAGTCTTGGAATAGAAAAAGGACAATGGTGGAAACATCGGTGAAATCTGCTCAAAGTCTGTAACTTAGTTAATAATATTGAACCAGTATTAAATTCCCGGTTTTTTTTTTTTTTTTTTCCAGTTTTTGGCTGGGGTTGGGTTTGAACCCACTACCTCCGGCATATGGGGCCAGCGCCCTACTCCTTTGAGCCACAGGCGCCGCCCATGATTTTGATCACTGTGTTAACAGTTTTCAGGACGGCAACATTAGGAGAAGCTGGGGGAGGAGTAGGTATGTGAACTCTCATTTTCACTTTTTTATAACTAATGTTACTCCAAAATAAAAAAGTTAATAAAGAATTGCGCTAACAAGCAGCCTTTGACAGAAGTCTGGCCCTAGACACTGTCCCACAAACAAGCTCCAAGTACTCGGGCAGAGTGGTGCCAGGATGAAGGAATATGAGACCTAATAAACAGATGACAGAGAAGCTCCATCCAGATTCACTCAGTTCCCACACTTTTGACTCACCAGTCTCTACAACTCAGCTAGCTCCACTTCCTGTGTCCAACCTGGACGTCAGAATCTTCTGTTTTTCTACTTCCCGCACTGTTCCAGTCTCTTACTTCTTCCAGAAGCAGACAACATTCCCTCCCAAGAACCCCACCAACAAAGGTTGGGGTCCTCATTTAGAAATGCCTCACTGCACTTTGGAATGACATACAATCTGCAGCCTGCGCCATAGCTTAGAAAACATCCCACGGAAACAAAAGAGGATGTTCATGAGCCAAAAAACCCCAGAAACCTAAATAGAACATGTATAAAACCCATATATTACAGGGAAGTATTTACCGTATGTACATATTTTAACTATGTGTAAATACCCATACTCTATTTTTAACCTACAAAGAAACCAGCACAGTCACACAGCGAGGGGTGGGGCTGTTCTGCACCGTGACGGCAGTTTCACAACTGCACACATTTGTCTGAACTCAAAGAACTCTACACTACAGAGTGGATTTTACTCTATGTGAATTTCAAAAATTGAATTAAAAAGGAATGTATGCTTATGAACAAAGACCAACTGGGCATGGTAGGAAGCACGCTGCAGAAGCACCCACATAGCATGGTTCCTTTTTCTTATACAGCAAACTCAAATAATAAATGTGTCTATAAATAAGAGGAAGGTTCATGTACGGGAAGAGGCCTGGCCAGACATCTACCCAGCGAACGGCAGTAATTACCTCAGAGGTTAGATGTTAGGTTTGTGGGTGGTAGGAGGGATAATGGAGGAAACTTTCATTTTCCCCTCGGTATGCTTGTGTAATTTTTTTAAATAAAAAAAGATGCTTATGTGTATGAGTTGTACATTTAAGTAAACGAACAGCCATGCTTTACTTACCCTCAGTTCCTTCTGGATTCTAGTGCTCCTTGAGGGTCCCAGAAGAGTGGATGGCTATCAATGGCTGTGCATCTACAAAGAGGGAAAAAGAGGTTATACCTTTGGCCAACTTGAGCCTTCGTGCTGCAGAAACATCTGTCATTCACATGCTCACTCTCTCAACAAGTATTCATTAGCACTTGCTATGTGCCTGGCTCTGAGAATAACCCAGGGGCTCTCTAGGAGCTGACGTTCTAGCAGGGGAGGAAGACAGTGAACATATCCTCAATACCAAGTCAGGGTGTGGGGTGGAGCCTGACGGAAGCCATGCAGGTGTGGATGCAGTGACAGGTCTGCCACTTTACACAGAAGGCCCGAGGAGAGGACAGAGACCTAAGTATGAGAGACCACAAACTGTGTGACTATCTGGGAAAGTGCCTTCCTGAGTGGGGAGCCCACGTGGAGCGTCTTAGGCACGGCCAGCAGGCCCATGTGGTTGGCACAGAGTGAGGGTAGGGTTAGTGGAAGAGATGGGGGCAGATGGAGGGCTGCTGTAAAAGGACATTTCCTCAGACAACTATTAACAGAGGAATGACAGAGAAATTAACACCTGTCCTGATTTGGAACTTCATATTAGGCGTTTGTGTTTTTGTACATTTAGTATGGTTGTTTATACTGAAATGATATTTCATGGATGAACGAATGTGTCCCAGCTGAGGGGGTACTGTTTATACAGTTCACCGGCACATTCCAGAGCCAGCATAGGCCAGGCACTAAGTTGGCTGAGATGTGAGAGGATAGCCTAGAGCCACACCATATGGAATGGCCATTAACTAATGACTCTCCCTCCAGATGTGCCAGCTCTGTCCTAGCAGAAACATGCTGGTTCATTTCACTCTCTCAATCACCCTAAGAAGTAGATACTATTGTTACTCTCATGTTACAGATGAAGAAACTGAGGCACACAGTGGGTTGGAGCTCTGTCGCTGAGGTAGCGCAGTTAGTCAAAAGTATATTAAGCCAGGTGTGACTGCACCCACCTGTAGTCCCAGCTACTCAGGAGGCTGAGGCGGGAACATCCATCAAGCTCAAGAGCTTGAGATCAGCCTGGGCAACACAGCAAGACCCATGTCTATAAAAAGCATTCTACATACGACCAGGATATGAACTCAGCAGCCTGGCTCCTGACCAAATGGCTAGACCATACTGTTAGAACAGTCAACAAAGGGCAGGCTCACTGCCTCTCTGCTCCACTTCCCCTATAATCTAACATCTAAGTGCTACCCAAACGCCAAGGCCAAGCTCAAATGCCAGTTAGCTCCTTCAGGAAGCCTCCTAGGAAAGAAAACTAGCAAGAATGATCCTCCTAACTTCCACCCTTCAAGGGTCCATGGACCCAAGATTAAGAACTCCCAACGTAGATCTGAGAGAGAGTAATGGCAAAGCAGGTTCCAAAAGAAGATAATCAGGGAGTATGGGGCAGATTCAGCTTCATGAACTTAGCATGGGAAAGGTCCTGAGCATTGGCTGTTTTGGACCACCCTGTAGCCACTTCCCTTTCTGGGTCAGCCACCTGAACCTCCCCTTTCCCACTCAGCCCATGGGATCCCTGAAGGAACTGACCCCCTAATGATTTGGATGTGAGTGTGGGACTGGTGACATGATCGAGGCCTAGCCACTAAAGCCACTGTACCATCTTCCCTATTCCTGGCTTCAGAGATGGCCCAGGGTGATCCAGGCACCACAGCCAGGATGATCAGAGCAAGTAAACACTAACCCCAAGATATATACTGGGACTATAGGGGAAAAGAAGGTTTATTTCCCCTGGGGCTGCTAAGCTGATCGGATCTACTCCTAGAGTGCCAGGGGCTGCCTCAAAGCCTTCCCTTTGAATAAAACCTACACAGAGGAATGCAAAGACAGGAACAGGGTCCCAGCAACTTCATGAGGCCCTGGATCCAGCTGTGCCTGAAGCCATTACAAGTAGAATCTCCCAGACCATGTGTTCATGTGTTTCCTTTTGTACTTAAGTAAATTGACCTGAATTTCTATTTGTTAAACAACCAAAAGACACTCAACTAACACAGAAGGGCAGAGATAAAAGCTGTTCCTGATGACTCCCATAGCTCACCACTAGACCCTTTACGGATGTACAAAATAAAATTAGAAACAGTTACTATCCATAGAAACAGCAAATACAGAAAAACATACGCTTTAAAAACACTCAGAAATGGCCTCTTGGACAGTTGCTATCCCTAAGCTGGTGTACGAAGCCCTAACCATTTTGCTTTTCAAGATATGTCACAGGGCAGGGAGGAACCAGAAGCACCCAGAACATTTTCCTTTATTACCAGACTTCCCATTTTAAAAATTCCTAAGATGATCAGAAAGCCCCTGCAATAAAGCTCTTGTAAAATTTTAATAGCTGCCTTTTAAAGAGCAACAGAAATTGCTTTTCTGCCGCCTATTTTCTTCTTTCTTTCTCTAAAGTGATACACATGGCTTTTTTTTTTAAAGACAGTCTTACTCTGTCACCTTGGGTTGAGTGCTATGGCATCATCATAGCTCACAGCAACCTCAAACTCCTAAGCTCAAGAGATCCTCCTGCCTCAGCTTCCCAAGTAGATGGGACTACAGGCACTCACCACAAAACCTGGCTAATTTTTCTATTTTTAGTAGAGACGCGGTCTCGCTCTTGCTCAGGCTGGTCTCAAACTGCTGAGCTCAAGATCCTCCTGCCTCGGCCTCCCAGAGTGCTAGGATTACAGGCGTGAGTCACTGCACCTGGTGTATATGGCTCTTTACAGGCAGATTGGCAGCGATGTGCAGTGGTGCCAAGTCTCTTTAGGCTAGGACCTTACTTACTGCTCACTGGAAGAAGCTGTGAATGTCCATTAGTCTGGGTTCCCTCACACAGCAGAGAGGAAAGTGCCAAAGGCTTGTAGAAATGGCAGCAAAATACAAGGCTAGGAATTCAGCCAGGACCCCAGATAGTCCAGAGCCCCACTTCATACACCTAGGAAGGATGAACTTGGAGTTGCCTCCACAATCCCAGCACACCCATGCCCATGGCCCATCTGCCACCCAGGCTATACTCACAGGCTGGGCATCTCATTTCCCACAGGTTTATACTAAGAAGAGACTCTTGGAAGAGAGAATGAGAGGAAAGGGGATGTGCTGACCTGACTGCCCGCCTGAAAGTTTCCTCCCTAATCCCTTTCCTCCAAGGGATTGGCTCTGAGAGACACATGATCCAACCAGAGCCAATCAGAGCCTGCCCTGGAAATTTTGCTTCAATTACTAGGAGAAAGAAAGAGGTGCAGTGTGAGTCAGCTGAGGGCTTCCTTGTCATCCCAAGGAATGAGGGCAGAGAATAAAGTCAAAGCTGAGAAAGGCAGAGCACAGAAGTGAAGAGGAGTGCATGCCTACACTTGATCTTAGCTAAAAGGCCGGGAAGCCATAGGGGTGAATTCCTGATGAGAATACTGGAGTGGTGACTCGTCAGGCCCAGCTTGGGGATTTTCAGGTCTCCAAGCCATTAACTTACCTTGGCAGTTTAAGCTAGTTTGAGTTGGGGTGATTCTGTCACAACAGAACAGGAAAGGATCTCAGAATTCAGTATAGCACTCCTTCACGTTTAGGTGAACATGACCCTTCTTTTTGTTTGTTTGTTTGTTTGGGGGTTTTTTTTGGGGGGGGGAGGGTCAGAGCCTCAAGCTGTCACCCTCGGTAGAGTGCTGTGACATTACAGCTGACAGCAACCTCCAACTCCTGGCTTAAGTAATTCTCTTGCCTCAGCCTCCCGAGTAGCTGGGACTACAGGCGCCTGCCACAACGCCTGACTATTTTTTGGTTGTAGTTGTTGTTGTTGGCAGGCCCAGGCTGGATTTGAACCCGCCAGCTCTGATGTATGTGGCTGGCACCTTAGCTGCTTTAGCTACAGGCACCTAGCCAACCCTTCTAAAAGCTGACAAAATAAAACTATCCCCTATCTCCCCAGGAAAAAAAATTTTAAAACCAACATAAAATACTGCTTGGATGTCTCAAGGATGTCTCTGAAGCCATCTGCAAGAGGAAATGGGTAAAGAACACTTTGATCTAGTGGACACCCTGTCCACTGGTAGGAAAGGAAACTGGGGTTTGGAATGCTTAAATGACTTGTCTGGGACCCACGGCAAGCTGGGGGGCAGGGCTGACCTCCCCTAAAGCTCCATGAGGTTTCACTTTGCACTCTCCTGAGTACAGTCCTTGGGGAGATTGCAGAGGGTGAAAGGAGGCAGAACTCTGAGGGGAGAAAATTTCAGGCTGGGAGTCTAGATCTCCACACCCCCATTTCACCCACAGCAGCACCACCTGTCTCTGCTTTATAAAATGGGCTTTCAGAGAAGTGCCCGACAAAAGTCCCACAGCTCCATAATCAACATACTGAAAACCAATGTCTTGTATTACATTATGGGTACTTCCAAGTTAATGACTTTGGTTTTGCTCCTCACTGAAAGCCTGTGAAGCAGGCAGGTAACATCACCATGGCTCTGGGTGAGGTGTTTCAGCCAGGGTGCTACTCTCCTGACCCCATGGCCAGTCGGCACGTCTGTGCTTTCCATTCCTGTGCTTCTGCCCCTGAAATTTCTACCCCAGCCCCCGATTTCCACCTCAGCTCATATGGAAAGGATCATCCAGTTACACCACTCCCCCTGACTTAGTCTCCCCCAAGGAAGAAGAGGTGGCTAATCTATGTGGTCAGGGATTGTGACAGCTGCTGGCACCTCCTGGGACCAGGCCTACCAGCCCTTTCTTTCCCTGTGCCCAGAAATGCCAGGAGGTTCTCTTACGTTTCTGTCTCACAGCAGAATACACACCCTGGGTGGTATCCACATAGCCTCTAAGATGGGCTGGCCACATGTACTCTCTCTTTACCAAGTGGTAGTAGAGGACAGGCAGGCCTCTCTTCTCTGTGCCACCAGCTGTGTATGTGGCTGACCTAGGAATTAAGATTTGAGGCAAAGGATAACTAAATGCACTGGGGCTTTCTGCTTTAGGCTGCATTCTCCTTACTGGGCTCCCAGAGCTTCATGTTGGGACATCGGGACTTG